TTTTTTAAAAATCAAAGTGAAACTAGCAAGTTTTGGGATAAATTTTGGAAGAACGCTTTTTTAAAATGGTTACGCTGACAAAATACCTCTTCCGGAGGAAGGGGTGATGGTTTTCTTCGTTTAATTTGACTTTAGAATGAAAGGCGAGAGGTCATTAAAATAAAAAAAACAACTAAAACTCTGCACTGAACGTACCCGAACTGCTGATGAACAGCAGTCGATCTGCGCACGCAAGGAGGTGCTATTCCTATTCTTCTTCTGGAAAAACGAAAGAGAGCTTCAAAACAGACTGCAGCGCCATCTGAAGCAAAGAGCATACTTCCTGCGGACACTTTTTTGGCTGAGTGGCCCATCTTGTTATTCATTATCTTTGATTATACTGAGGGTTCAAAACTATTTTCATCACTTGAAGGTTATTTAAGAGGCCGAACCGCAGGGCTAACAGTGTTAACACCCATATCCGGAGGGAGCAACCAAAGATAGCTATTAATACTTCTTGTAACAACTCAAAGTTTGAGTCAAACTCCACAACGCTTCAATAAGGATCTGAAGTCGAGCACGATACAAACTGAGCTCACGTGCACTCATGGACAGGATGTAAAACCTACCCCACTCTAAGATAAGATAAGAGATAGGGTAAGATATGTCTTTTTTTGTCCATATCTTGGAACATTGGTTCGATGATTCACCACGCACGCACGCGCGCACACACACATACACACACACACACACACACACACACACACACACACACACACACACACACTCACACACTCACACACACACTCACACACTCACAACACAAACACACACACGCACACACACACACACAGTGCATCCCTTTACAACCCAAACGGTGGGACTGCATCGTAATGATATAATAATGTGATTTCAATTGTCGTTGTTCCATGCCCCATCCACAAAATTTAGAGACTGGTTGCTCCTACTCTGCCTATCAGGGACAACCTGGGCTGTGCGAGATTTAAAAATTCAAAATCTCAAAATTAACTCTGCAGGTAGACAGAGATAATAAGTACCCCCTCCGCAACCTTTTTTTTCCAAACGGGAATCGAACTCACTTTTTGTGTGCGTGTGTGCGACGTCGAAGCGCCTAATCGCCATACCACAGACGCCTAAATGACTGTGACAAATAAGATTACACACTGTATGTAGACACTTTCTGCCAGTTACGACCATGTCCCAGACAAAAAGAAAAGGGTCTTTAGATTGAAATCTCTGCTTTCAGAGGCCGTAATATGATAGGTCTGGCTTGTCTTGACAGTAATCCCCATTAATTTGAACCTCGGGGAAATCTGTTTTCTTTGTGCAGACAGTCTGTCCTGGCGTCGTGCGAGCTACACGACAAATCGTTGCAGGCTTGTACCAGCGTCAGACCGACAGTTATACTTCGATATTGTCTCCGCTTTGGTTTAATATCAAAGTATTGATCACCTTAACACATCGCCATCCCGACCCCTTTTTTTTTCTTTTAGCCTAGGTTGACACCGGCTACCACATACACTCACCCCCCCCCCCCCCCAACCACCCCCAAGGACCTTAAATCTTACAGAGTCTCCCTCTTTGCCTCTGCTTGCCCGTGTCTGTCTGTCTGTCTGTCTGTCTGTCTGTCTGTCTGTCTGTCTGTCTGTCTGTCTGTCTGTCTGTCTGTCTGTCTGTCTGTCTGTCTGTCTGTCTGTCTGTCTGTCTGTCTGTCTGTCTGTCTCAGAATTTGTTTCTCTACGCCATACATTCTCCCCCCTTTCTTTTTTTCTTTTAGCAAGTCGTATGTGGAAACACGGTGCTGTGGGGATATTTCACCTAGAAAAAGAATGGCCGAGATAATGTTAATAAGATAGATGGAGGAAGTATTGGCGCCGGCAAAAGCTGCCGTGTCACCCAAACGGCGTCCCGTCATGTCATGATATCGATTCAAACGTGTGCACAGATAGATAGACAGGCCGACACACGGACAGACAGACAAACACACACAATCACACACATACACACACACATACACACATACATGTGCATACACACAAACTCACACGCATATATACACATACACATGTACACACGCTCACATGCATACACACATACACTCTCAGAAGTAAGAGAAGTAAGAGAGAGAGAGCGAGAGAGAGAGAGAGAGAGAGAGCGAGAGAGAGAGAGAGAGAGAGAGAGAGAGAGAGAGAGAGAGACAGAGACAGACAGACAGACAGACAGACAGACAGACAGAGACAGAGACAGAGAGAGAAAGAGAGAGAGAGAGGGGGGGTGGGGTGGGGATGGGGGATGGGGAGGGCTTGAGGAGGAAGGGTAACATTAACTAGAAGAATGTGTTTCTTTATTCTTTATATTTTTTATCTTCCGTTTGCTTGCCTTTTCCTAGATCAACACGATCTTTGTATTGGTATCTTTATTTGATACACATGCATAACATGTTAATACAATAATAACAATAATAACAATAATAATAATAATAATAATAATAATAATAATAATAATAACAACAACAACAACAATAATAATAGCAATAATAATAACGATAATAGCAGCAATAATAATAATGATAATAATGATAATAATAATAATAATACTAATAATAATATAAAAACGCACCGGCGTGTGTGTGTAAGTGTGTGTATGTGTGTGTGTTTGTTTGTTTGTGTGTGTGTGCATGTGAGTGTATGTTTGTATGTATGTATGTATGTGTGTGTGTGTATGTGTGTGTGTGTGTGTGTATGTGTGTGTATGTGTGTGTGTGTGTGTGTGTGTGTGTGTGTGTGTGTGTGTGTGTGTAAGGGAATGCACGAGGTAAAATCAAAAAGTTTTGTTTCCCTGTCTATGTGATGGGATAATGCAATGCAATCTTTCTGAAACTTACATTGATTGAAGATGAATTTTAGCAACAATGGTAGGGAAAAAAAGAACTGGAAATTACACAATATCATTTTTATTACGTAAGGGCACCTTACTGCACCATCTCGGAGATGGTTGATTTTTGCCACAAACCCAGATTTGAGGCACAATACCCTTGACCGAGCACTGCCATGGTGGTCGCTCTCCGCTTTCTATAAAAACTTCGCTATGCTGGTGTGCGTGCACTGTAGGCGCCAAAATGAGGCATTCCTGTACAATTGCGGTCCCGTTAGATCTAGATCTAGCACTAAGTCACACTAGCAAAGGCTACTGGATGTAGACACTGATTTAAATATTCGGTATCGATGTTTTATCAGTAGATCTAGCCTACAAAATGAGCAGTAAAAATTCACTTGTATTTAACAAGGCAAGAGAAGGTTTCTTGCACCCCTGAATTTGACCATAATTTGATGTTTTGCAATTAGGTTTGATTGGCTATCTCTCCATAGGCCTGTCGGCACGCGCATTAAAAAGTAATCGTTTAGAATCAGAAGTAAATGTTGGTGGGATCAAAACGAGTATCCCTAAACGGGACCGCAATTGTACAGGAGTGCCCAAAATGAAGAACAAAATGTCAGTCTCGCTAAAATCTAGTGCCCATGAAACTTTTCCCTGCTTGCATTTCATTTGTTTCCAGATTTAGTCAAATGGTGCCCTGCATGGTGATCCGTAATTACGTCAGAGTGCAGTCTTGGATAGTATAGTGCGGTCCAAAATACATGGCGCAACTTATCCTCAAATATCTCTTAAACGGGTAAATCAATGTTACCCATACTTTGCACAGCAGTTTGTATCAATTTGTCTTAGCTTATATATTATTCTACAACAGTTGAGGCTAGATTAAAAAACTTTTCTGCATAAATTTATACAAAATGCTATAAATCTCCTTCACGCGGAAAATGGAATTGTTCACAGCACTTCCTGCTTCTCACACACATTCTCATTACGCATATTATTATAGCCTACGTCACAGCTCACCAATGACAATTTTTTCTTGCAAAACTTGTTGCAAGAAATTATTTTTATAGCGAACACATTTTTGCACTTATGGTTCTCAAAACATGCTTTCAATAAGCGTAATGTCCCGATTAGAAAAACATGACTGACTTGCTATTAAATAAAGCAATATTGCCCCAGCTGTAAACATTTAAGAATCAGAAAAAAACCCCACCCATTTGAATTTTTTATTGGTATTTATGAAGGAATTTTCTAGAATACAGTGTGCAGGAGTTTGAAAAAAATGTTCACAAATTGATAAAAGTCACTGTGCAAAAGCGGGAGAGTTTATGTTCGATAGTTGAGGAGATATTGGACAATGAGTTGAGCCACGAATTTTTGACCGCACCATAATAAACATCTGTGCTTTCTACAAACAACCATACCTAAACATAGACTTGGAACTCCGAGAGCGTTTACTGGCATGGCCGCCACTCATCGCTCTCTTTTTTAAAAAAAGAAAAAAACAAATTTGCTGCGCAGCGCAACGCCAAAGGCCGATCCATCAAGCATAAATATAGGCAAACTCTTCGTTTGGCTCAAATTGAGTTAAATGGTGCGATCCATACTGAACCGGAAATACGTGAGAATGTGCGGTTTATGATAATTCTAATAGTAATACGTCTGTGTTTTTAGCAAACATTTTAACATCAATATGGACTTGCTTGAAATTTGGTCTGTCATGAAATTTCTTTTATCTTGAGGGGAACAATCTAGATCTAGGTCATATTTTTGTATGTTTTCTAACAATTCTTGTAAAAACGTGTTATGATGCAGTGAAATACTGGGTAAAAAAAGTTCAAGAGTGAACACATGGCCATTTGTGATAAAGCAAGACCAGGGCCCCATCCGACCGCCATCACAGAAGAAAATGTGACGAGGGTGAAAAACATATGTGTATATATATTGGTAAAACAACAGGTAGGTACTTTTTCCTTGGTTCTCATACCTGGCAGTGGATTACAAAAATGTTACAGATTTTGTTTGTATGTTATCTTGTTTGTATGTTTGTTTGTTTGTTTGTTTGTTTTTAACATGTTATGATATCGTTGTTAAAAAAAAAACTTTCAAAACCTACTCCTCAGAAACCTTGGCACTTATATCCTGACTCGAACGTGACAGCTGCTCTATCAAGGGCCACCCCAGTCCTCTCTGGGCTAAAGGCTAAAAAGTTATAGACCATCTGGATAACCCAACGAACGATCACTCACCAAATCGAAAACCTCTGGTTGCAGACGACCTGGAGTAAGACAAGAGCAGGTGCCAGAGGTCACTCACCCGCCACACAGCACCAGCAGGTCCGTCGCTCAGTACTGGCTCTCCGCTCCCCGCTGCTCTCCGCAGGAACAAGGGGGGGAGCCTCGCTCGGGACATCATGTCTCACGATGACGTAGTAGCCCCCTGTGACAGACGAGAGTCCTCGGCGTCTACTGTGAGCTGTGCTTGAGCTCATCTTATTTTCAGTGCCATGTCAGATCTTTTCCGTACTATTGGATTTCCCGCGCTAAGCCCACGGACTGGAGTATGACGAGGAGAAGGAAGGGGTTTGACCTAGACAACTTCCCGTTGACATGGAGATCACATGAGGTTTTACTGTACTTAGGTAAGTTATTTTAAATTAATAAGTCTCGAGGAGGAGGGAGGGGGGTTGTTGTTGTTGTTGGGTTTGTGATTGATTCTTCGTTTGCTTGATTGTTGTTCCGTTGTTTTAACTGTCCGTTTTGTTTTTGTTGTTGTTGTTGTTTTGTGTGCGTGTGTGTGTGGGGGGGGGGGTGTTTGTGAGTGTGGCGGGAATGCGGGAGAGGGTCGTTTTCTTTTGTTTTAGAGCCCTGGACGGATGTAAGATGCGAGTGGTTGTAAGGCCAAAGGTAGGCCCCACTTTCCACATCTCTTTTCTCCCTGTGTTGTTTCCATATGTCTTGCTTTTGATAACTTTACCTGGCTGCCATTGTGCCGATGTGAGTCTATTCAATTAAATAAAAACAAAATGTACGTGGTAGTAAGTCAGTGATAATGTTTATTCAGTACTGACAAAAACAAAAAGGTAGGATTGGATTTAGGTCCGAAATATCAGATGAGTCGGGACAAATTGTAGATCCACTTTCACTCATGCATTTTAACCACCGTCCATTAATTTTTCAGACCATATTCGTAACCAAATTTTTAGGCTGCAGAGAATAAGCACGTCTTCATCTTTAGGTCATTTGTTGCTTTGTCATTCCCTTTGTACGAAAAACGCGATTTGTTGTAGATTTGCTGTAACGCGAGTATCTAAATCTAGATATAGATGACTGTATTTCAAGCTTTCATAAACGAGTTCGGTTTTATTTTTTGGAAGGGGCGGGGAGGGGGGGGGTTTGTCTATTGCCCTCTTTAAAAAAAAATACGACTGATACAAAATAAATGAGAATCTAAAGGTACCAGGTTAGGAGGAAATAGTAAAATTACGCTTCTAGCCCCCAGTGGCGGTTGGTGGACCAAAGTTTGGGTGGGGCTTAGGTTGCTTCCACTTCTTTACTACCACATAACAAGCTACTATAAGAACAAAAGAGTGATAATTTTTCTATACTCAAGGCAAGCCACAACATTTTCAGAACCATTCATACGAGGAGAGTTACTTTCGTCTTACACCCCTTTGTTCTAAGTTAAATTCTTCTGGATGGCGGGGACGAAGCCGTTTTACATCCAAATTTCTCTGATTAATTTTCTTCTGATGAAAAAGTTGCCTCAATAGTGGTTTGATGGGATTAATATCTGTTAAATATCAGAATATTCCGTCTATGAGCTGTATTTGGCCGTGTAGTCGCGGAAAGCAGATAGCACCTAACAAAGGTCCAATGAGCGCGTAGGTATCTGTGTCACTGGGTGAAAGTGTCTCCAGTGGCGGTGGGTGGACAAAATTTGGGTGGGGCTTAGGTTGCTTTCACTTCTTTACCACAAATAGCAAGCAATAAGAACAAAACAGTGGTGATTTTTCCATACTCACGGCGAGCCACGGCATTTTGAGAACCATTCAAACGAGAAGAGTCACCTTTAATTCTTCTGGATGCTTGGGACGAAACCACTTCACCTCCAAACTTCTCTAATTAAATTTCATCTGTTGAAAAAGTTGCCTCAAAAGTGGTGTGATGTAATCAATAACCGTTAAATCTCAGCAGCACACACACAAACATGCATACACAGCACTCCACGAGCTGGATTAGGCCGTGTAGTCGAGGAAAGTAGACAGCGCCTAACAAAGGTCCAATGGGAGCGTAGGTAACTGTGTCACAGGGGGAAAGTGTGTCGTAAACTTTCACCCCATTGTCAGGGCTAGGACAGCGTGAGCCCGCTGTGCAGTGTTATTTTTTTCAAGTCTCCTACCTTTTTACAGGAAAATTTTAATTAACGAGGGACGGTAGGAACCGGCTCGTCTTTGCTGAGCCCAAAAGACATTTGATTGACTGTTAGGATACTATAGTTGTAAGCGGTGCCAACAGTGATTGGATAAACGAGCACGCCGCCAAGTTGATCACTCTGTGTTCATTGCGTGCGATCATAACGGTTTCAACTGCTTTTTTCGTT